TCTCCCTGACTCCGGGATGAAGTCACACCATCTGTAATATTTGCTCCATTCTCAAAGCATGGAAGCTCCACGGTGGGGAAACACAGGTCACTTATTTCGAGCAGTGTTTGTGGCCGAACTGGCTCTAAACATTGCGATCGTTCCGTGTCCTATCTCGGTTGGGGGAGTCTCTCGCCCTCGCAGGTGAGATGACAGAACCGACTGGAGTGTTACGGCTCAGAGCTGGGCACAAACCGTTTCCTGAGTCTTGGCTGTCCTTTCATTTTTCTCCTATCAGCATGACAGCAACATGCCATCAGCTGTCTGCTGCGCTGGAAATTCCACCATCTCCTTACACTCACCCTCCACTCCACCTCCAGAGCCCTAGAAACAGACACATTGTCCATGGTTCAAAACACTATTCAGGCACGTAATAAAGAAATATTTGACCTAAGCACTCCTTGTGGCTAATATTATAAATGGTAAAAACAACAAGGAGTCCTTGTGGCACCTTAGAGACTAACAGATTTATTTGGGCATAAGTTTCGTGGGCTAGAACCCACTTCATCAGATGCATAGAGTGGAAAATACAGAGGCAGGTATAAATACACAGCACATGAAAAGATGGGAGTTGCCTTACCAAGTGGGGGGTCAGTGCTAACGAGACTATTCAGTTAAAGTGGAAGTGGGCTATTCTCAACAGTAGAATACCAAGGGAGGAAAAATCACTTTTGTAGTGGTAATGAGGGTGGCCCATTTCAAGCAATTGACAAGAAGGTGTGAGTATCAGCAGGGGGGAATTAGTTTTTGTAGTGACCCATCCACTCCCAGTCTTTATTCAGGCCTAATTTAATGGTGTCCAGTTTTCAAATTAATTCCAGTTCTGCAGTTTCTTGTTGGAGTCTGTTTTTGAAGTTTTTTGTTGAAGAATTGCCACTTTTAAGTATGTTATTGAGTGACCAGGGAGACTGAAGTGTTCTCTGACTGGTTTTTGAACGTTATAATTCTTGACATCTGATTTGTGTCCATTTATTCTTTTGCATAGAGAAATGGACACACACCAGACGTCAAGAATTATAACATTCAAAAACCACAAGTACTCCTCATTGTTTTTGCTGATACAGACTGACACGGCTACCATGCTAAACCTGTCACATTATAAATGGTGACAGATTTCAGTGTTGTAGCCGTGTTAGTCTGTATCAGCAAAAACAACGAGGAGTACTTGTGGCACTTTAGAGACTAACAAATTTATTTGAGCATAAGCTTTCGTGGGCTAAAACCTACTTCATCAGATGCATGCCGTGGAAAATACAGTAGGAAGAGATATATATACACAGAGAACATGGGTGTTGCCACTATAGAGTGATCAGTTAAGATGGGCTATTATCAGCAGGAGAAAAATACCTTTTGTAGTGATAATCAGGATGGCCCATTTCCAACAGTTGACATGCTTATTTTTACTCTCACCTTCTTGTCAACTGTTGGAAATGGGCTGTCCTGATTATCACTACAAAAGGTATTTTTCTACTGCTGATAATAGCCCATCTTAACTGATCACTCTTGTTATAGTGGGTACGGCAACATCCATTTTTTCATGTTCTCTGTGTATATATATCTTCCAACTGTATTTTCCACTGCATGCATCTGATGAAGTGGGCTGTAGCCCACGAAAGTTTATGCTCAAATAAATTTGTTAGTCTCTAAGGTGCCACATGTACTCCTCGTTCTTTTTATTATAAATGGTGTTTCCTGGAACATCAAAGGGGTGAATCACACCTGATTTAAAAAAGAGAATTATCACTCATCTAAAATCACTGAAAGCAGATAGCTCCCTACAGGAAATCCACCAGAATGAGTTGGCGGCAGAGAAATTTAGGAGAAGCTGGATGGAGGAGTGCGTGTTGAGCAATTTCTTCCCCGCAGCCAAAGGTGTAGCAATATTGTTTCACAAAAGACTCAATTTACAAATTCTAGATGTAAATAAAGATGAGGAAGGTAGATTTTTGCAGGTGAAGGCTAAGATCTCTGACTATATATCCCCTAATTAATACATATGGTCCCAATAAAGATGATCCATGGGTTTTTTTTAAAGTTTTTCAAAAGTTAATTAATATCCTACTAGAATCAATCATCACAGCAGGCGATTTTAATGAGGTGTTGGACCCTTTTTTAGACAAGTCAGCCTGGCCCCAGTGTACACAATCACATTCTGAAAACTTTATACAAGACTATATGGAAGAATCGAGGTTAAAAGACATATGGTAGTTACAGAACCCTACAATGAAGGATTTTACTTTTTTCTCCTCTCCGCATTCCGCATACTCACGAATAGATTTCTTCCCAATTTCTATTAATCTGTTGGACTCAGTACTTAATAATGAAATCAGGTCTATCATGAGCTGTGATCGGGCACCAGTGATCCTACAATTTTCCCCTCCTGAGACAAACTGGACTTGTGAGAGGTGGAGACTGAACTCCTCCCTTCTGAGTGATAAACTTTTTCAGCACTATGTCACAGAAGAAATTTGGTTTTTATTCCAAATGCATGCCACACTAGAGATATCCCATTCCACCCTATGGGAGCAGGTAGAAAGAAGGCTAGCCAGGCTCGGCTACTGGAATTAACCAAACCACGTAATGCTCTGGATTTCGAATGTGCAAACTACGCCCGCCCCCAAGAAAAACTTAAAACATGACTCAATCTTCAGTATGAAGGAAACAGACCAACTTCTGCACGTGCTGAATTTGCTATTTTTAGACTCCGACAAACACACTGGGAGTTGGAGGGCAGAGCAGGGGAAATTCTCACATACAGATTAAACGCGGGGGGTCAAAGGTCCTGAGTAGTATCACTCAAATCAGAACAACAGCAGGTTATTACACGCTGATAGCAAAGGATTTGAATAGGCGGCAGGTACTACCTCTCCCCCTCGGGGGAAAAACAAACATAATTACAATGAATGCCCTTCCCAGCATCCTTTTCATTCGGAATTCCCTCCCTAGCCATATGCCTCCCTTTTATCTGACCAAAATCAACACCATGTTCAGGTCCTTCTTGTGGGGTGCAGGTGACAAACCCAGAATCTCCTTACACAGATTACAGCTCCCCGACAGAACAGGGGGCTTGAGATTTCCAGGTTTCAAACTTTGCCATCAGGCACTAATTCTTAGCCAAGCAGCACAGCGGCTCATTCCCCCACGGGCTGGCTCCAGCTGGAAGCAGAATTGGTTGCTCCTTTACCCCTTCCCAACGCACTGCAGATTCCCTAAAAAGCAATTGCCAACTCTTGTGGCAGCCCGGAATACTTGGCGTCCGAAGTCTACTAAATTGAAACATGACCCCCTTCTACACACCGAGGCCCTCTGTCTGCGATAACACGAAACACTGAACAGCCGGCAACCCCATCAACAGCCAGGTCGGATTAGGAAAGGGATTTTGAATTTATTGGGAGTCAATACATAGAAAATGACGCTTTCCTGCCTTTTACAATATTAAAAGCAAGGTTCAATCTAGAGACTAAGAAGGAATGGCAATATATCCAGTGTAAACATACCATCTCCCAGCTGTTTGGCCCGATGTCTTCAGTACCCCTGACCCACAGAAACTGCTTTCATCTCTCCAACACCTATGGCAACACTGTGTACACACCAGGCCAGCAAAAAAACAAACAAAAGGAATGGGAAGAGAAACTAGGCCAATTACTTCCTGCTAACCAATGGAAACACATTTTAGCCCATGTTCTGAACTGCTTTGACCTTTGACCTCTGCGTACGATTAATCCAGCAGGAAATCACACGGAGGATGCATTGGACCCCTCTCCAACTGTTCAAAACCAGTGTTGCTAAGTCAGACAGATGTTGGTGCCATGATGCAGCTGGTGGGAATGCACCTAGACCTAAACTGCAGAGTTAATTTTTTTCTTATCAACTACAATGGTATTACCAGCGAAACACGTAATTTTAAACCCAATGGATGTTCATTGGAAGCTGAATAAATCTGAAAAACTTTGACTCAGCAGAGCACTAATAATCGCTAAAAGACTAGTACTCCAAAAATGGAAATCCAAAAAGTAACCAACAATTGGAGACTGGAGCATAGACGTCATAAGATTGGCCAACATGGAAGTGCAGGGCCCCCCCTCTTCTCTACCCATTTCCTTCCCTCTTCGTCCCCAGCCCCCTTCACTGAAGTTTGCTTCTATTCTTTATCTGATTTTAATCATTTTTCTTTAACTATTGGATTTTTATAAGCAACATGTGTTTGTAAATTGTGCAACACAAATCACTGATTTATCTGCTAACCATTCGTATTATATATAATGAAATGTTTAAAGCCTAGCTCAGGTTAGGTAGCACGTGGTTAATATAGTCTGAGAAGTGTATGTGGTATGAGAAGTTGGTGTATATTTTGTGGTGTTGGTTTTTTCTATATATATTATTTTTAAAATGAATAAAAAGTTAATAGAAAAGTAACAATAATCATAGCTTTTAGGTCCTTTACTTTAGGAGGAATTGGGGAGTGTCCCTTAAATAGTGTGGGGGCTGTGTAGGAATACTCACAGTGTTCTGTGTTTTTGGAGTGATCCGGGCATGGCAGGTATGTGTCTATTCAGTGAACATGGTTACTTGGAACCCAGCTGGGCCTGTGGGTCTCTTCGTGTGATTGTCGTTATTGTGAAAAGATCAAAAGGTCCAGTGTTGTGTTTTGAGGAGCATTTGCAAAAGATAGGATATGAAACAATCATGCTCAAGGCAGCTCCTCCCCTTCACTGGTGAAGTAACAGCAAATTATGACTCAAATCTTAGCCCTTCGCAGCCACTCAGTTTTTCCTGCAATCAGCACAACGGCACCCTGACATCAGCTGACCACCGCACTGGAAATTCCCTCGCAATCTCCCTCCGCTTCGCCCCCCCAGGCGCCTATAAAAGGACAGATTGTCCTTGGGTGCAGCATCAGAAGGAGAAGGAGTGTTCAAGAGTCCCTGGTCTGCTTCTGCTCCTGACGCTCATCCTCACCCAACAGCAACATGAAGGTCTCCGTGGCTGCCCTCGCCGTTCTCCTCGTCGCTGCCTTCTGCTCGCAGGCCTCCTCTGCCCCAAGTGAGTCCAGCTTCTCTCCTCTCGTTCAGTGTTTCCCTTCAGAGAAGGAAGGAGAAATGTTGTAGCCGGGAGATGGTTCCTTCTGCCAGCTCCTAGCCAGCAGGTTCTCGCTGGTCGAGGCAGGGCAAGGAGCTCTCTTCTGGGGAGGGGAGAGCCCTGGTGGTGTCAGGGCTGCAGCCAGCAGCCCACCAAGGATCTGACAAGAACTTTCAGATCTGGCTGTGTCCAGGAAAGAGGAAAGGATGGAAGGAATTACTGGAGGAAAATCTCTCCCATTTCCCTCCTTCCTTCACCTCCTTTCCTCATCCCAACTCCCTACGGCTGGAAGTCTTCTCTTCCTGCCCTGTCCCACGTCCCCCAGGCTGCTAGAGGGGCTTTTCTTTGCATACAGCTCAGCACACACTCATGTTTGTTGTCTCCGTCTCTTTCAGTTGGCTCCGATCCCCCGACTGCCTGCTGCTTTACCTACGCATCCCGGAAGATCCCACGCGGCTTGGTGGTGGATTATTATGACACCAACAGCATGTGCTCCCAGACGGCCATAGTGTAAGTACAAACTTCAGACCCTGAGACAGAGAGAGAAATGTTTTGTGTCCCCCAGTTACTGGCCTTGGGGGTTTCTTAAGACACACTGAATGTGGGGCGGGGGGCTCTGGCAGAGACTGCACCAGAGAAAGAGAACGGAGCAGACTAAGGGTGTGCAATTTTCAAAGGCGCGAGGCTGCTGAGTCATTGAAGTCCCATTATCGGAAGTGATTGAGACACACAGGAGCTGAGTCTCATTGAAAGTCGATGGACCTCGTGCTCCGATGTGGCTAGATCACTTTTGAGAATGGGCCTTTGGCAGCTAAATCACGTAGGTGTTTTGGAAAATGTTCCCCTAATCTACGGGATCTGGGTGTAGCTGGTATTAGTGAGAGGAGAGGTTTTAAAAGGAGACATTTGGTTCTCTCCACTCACAAAGTTCCCCTTGTTCTAATCCAAATGTTTTTTGTTCGGCAGATTTATCACCAAGAAGGGCCGTGAAGTCTGTGCTAACCCCAAAGAGGACTGGGTTCAGGAGTACGTGACCCATCTGGAACTGAACTGAGCAGAGCAGGGGACAGACCAGGGACCAAGCCTTGCCCAGCAATGAAAGTGTTAATGTTCAAAGGGCACCCTTCCTGCTGGTGCATCTAGTGTTGGTGCCACTTGCTGGCTTAGTGGAAATAACCTGACATATATACATGTATTTAAAATATTATTTCAGTCTATTTAAGAAATCTAATTTGCACTGAAACCTGAGCTAAATGGTGTACTATTTATAGATTAGTACCCGGGGGTTTGGGGGCAGGTCACATGACATGGCTCCATTCACAGCTCAAATGTGAAGATTATTTAATATATTTTATATCAAATGGAACGTTTCCTGTAATATTGAGCTACGTGATTTGATGGAAGGCTGAACGTAGATGATGAAGAATAAATATTTTTATATGAATGTCCTGTGTTTGCCTGTTTGTTAATATGGATCCTTTTGGAGACCGACACCTCTTATTATTAATAATGATATCGCTTTATAAGGGTCCAGGCCCCTTTCTAGGCCAAGAAAACTACAAGCAATTTACAAATATATGGCTGATATTACACAAAGTGAGGGGAAGACAGGCAGTGGGGGAAGTGAGGTATGAGAAAGACAATTTACGATCATCAACTTTAGCACTTCCATACATTGGAGCAGGAGCTGGAAAATTCGGCAGGTGGGACACCCTAGTGTCAGGGAGGTGCCTTTTGCTGCCCTCACGAAAACCCATCCAAATCTGACCCAGTTCTAAGCCTTGGAAAGATCTCAGTTCACACAGGCTTAGTAACAACTAGCTAGACTTTGGCAGCTAAACTCTCAGAACATTTCATCTGTACTGAGCATGCTCCAGTTCCGGGCTGCAGGGGCAGAGCAGGGCTTTCCTTGCAACTGATCTGCAGAGCTAATGGGGGCGACTGGGGCATCGGGCACTCAAAATGAGAGCAGGGAGACTGTCTCCTCCATGCCCTCACTGACCCCACCCAGAAAGGGAGGAGGAGGAAGAGGAGGCAGCCTGACTCCAGTGTAGATGGGTGAGGAGCAGCGGGCAGGGCAGAGGAGGGATGACAGGTGCAGATGGCAGGGGGACAGGCAGAAGCTAGGAGGGGCAGGAGTAGAATGCGGGGAGGAGAGGGGCAGCAGCCAGGCAGGTGGGGGAGAGGAGCAGGGGGAACAGGGACAGACAGTGACGTGAGCAGAAGAGTCTGTCTGTGATTGTAACCAATTTCAGAGGCATATACACAATCCCCATACTCAGGGTTTCCAACTCCTGTGTTGTCATCACCAGTCTGGGCTTACGGTATTTGGTGCTTTTCTTAAAGCCCCACCTCCTGGAGTCACATGATGACAGGAGAATCTCACCTTTCATTTAAAAAAAAGTAAGTTGGCCGTACTGGGTATTTTGCTTATTGCATTCAAAGACATTGGCTTTGCCACCCCAATGACTATTTAGGTGCTGCTCACACACTCCAGGATCTGAGTTAATGAGTCCTTCACCCCTACCTGGCTCTTCAGAAAGCTAATTTCCCAAAGCTGAGGAAATTTATGAACAAAATTGATTGGGAGGAATAATTTAGACTGAAAAATGTGAATGAAAATAGGCAGTCTTTAAGGAGAATTTATTTGATGGCCAAAAAGCCATGGTTCAATAGAGAAGAAAGAGATCAACTCTGGATAAAAGTCCATCCTGGGTCAATGGCAAAGTAAGGACAGAAATTAGAAATAAAAATTCAATATATTACACATGAAAAGGAGGAAAACAGATCACAACTGATATAAATTAGCAGTTGTGAAGGGCAGAACATTGAAAAGGAAAGCTAAAGGCATCAGGGAAAAATCCATGCCTGGTAGAGCTAAGGACAACAAGGAGGAGTTTTTTATATATATTGAGTGGGGGGGAAATCTTAGCAGGCCCATTACTAAATAGAGATTGTAAAATTATTAATAATGATGCAGAAATAGCAGAAGTGTGCTACAAATATTTCTATTCTGTATTGGAAAAAGCAGAATGATGCATTCATATCAGCTGTGGATGACAAAGCATTTTCCATTTTATTAGTCACTGAGGATGATGCTGTACAAGACATGGTTGGGATAAAGATTTTTAAATCAGCAAACCCAGATTACTTGCACCCAAGAGTCTTAAAAGAGCTGGCTGAGGAGATCTCTGGCCCACTGATGTTAATTTTTAATAAATCTTGGAATATTGAGGAAATTCCAGAAGATTGAAAGAGTGCTAATGTTGTTGCAGTATTCAAAAAGGGCAAGCGGGATGACCCAGGTAACTATAGATTGGTTAGCCGGAAATCAATCCCAGGCAAAATAATGGAGAAGCAGATAGTGGATTCGACTGCTAAACAATGAATGAATATGAATATAATTAATGCGGGTCCACAGGGCTTTATAGAAAATAGGTCTTGTCAGACAAACCTAATTTCATTCTTTGAGAGGATTGGCAGTTTGGTGGATAAAGGGTAATTGCGTAGCTGTAATATACTTCGACTTTTGTAAGGCATGTGCCTTAGGACCGCCTGACGTTATGATTAAAAAATGTCAATAGAAACCATGTGAAATGCGTAAAGACTGGCAAACAGACAGACCTCAAAAGCAGTTCTCAATGGGGACTCCTCAGTGGGTGGGGTCATTTCCAGTCCGGTTCCACAGGGATCGTTTCTAGGCCTGACCCTGTTCAATATTTTTGTCAAAGTTCTGGAAATAAATCTCATCGCTAAAAAAATGTGCAGATGACACAGAGATTGGTGCAGTGGTAAATAATGTTGAGGACAGGGCAGTCACAGAGCGCAATCGGGTTTTCCTGGTAACTCAGACCCATTCAAACAAAAGTCATTGTAACACAGTCCAATGCAAAGGAACGAGGACTGCAGACCACACCTACAGAAGCGGGGGGCTGTCTCCTGGAAAGCAGCGTCAGCTAATCATTTCTTCCATCTTCGCCCACTTTCCTACAGTGTCAGAATTGAACTGTGGAATCACAGGCCATGATCTCTGCACTTCCTGCTGCCACTTCCCGAGCGGCTCGTCAATATTCTCTGCCCAGCAGAATTGGTGTCATGCCCATCACCTTTCCTGGAAATTCTTCAGCCACGAAACTCCGCTGCACCTCCGTCCTACAGGGAGAGGAGAAGAGCCCGGCTAAGAGCGAGATGAGGAAGGAGTGATGGAAAGTCGGGTTCTACTTTGGTCCCTGCTCTGGTTCTGCTACTGCCTGGCATGAACACAGAGGTCTCAGCGCTGCCGTCTTCTGCCCAGCCTCTTCTGCTGGAGACTGGGAGACTGTCTCCTCTGGGCCCTCAGTTACCCCCCTCCCCCACTACACTAGCACCCGTAAAGGGAGGAGGAGGAAAAGGAGACAGCCTGACTCCAGTGTAGATGGGTGAGGAGCAGTGGGCAGGGCAGAGGAGGGATGACAGGTGCAGATGGCAGGGGGACAGGCAGAAGCTAGGAGGGGCAGGAGTAGAATGCGGGGAGGAGAGGGGCAGCAGCCAGGCAGGTGGGGGAGAGGAGCTGGGGGAACAGGGACAGACAGTGACGTGAGCAGAAGGGTCTGTCTGTGATGGGGACCAATTTCAGATATTTCAGAGACACATACACAACCCCCCTTCTGAGAGTCTCCAACTCTTGTGTTGTTGTCACCATCTGTTCTCATAGCATTTGATGCTTTTCTTAAAGCCCCACCTCCTGGAGTCATGTGATGGCAGGAGAATCTCACGTTTCATTTAAAATCAAAGTTGGCCATGCTGGGTAGTTTTGCATATTGCATTAAAAAACATTGGCTTTGTCTCCTCAGTGACTGTGTAGCTCAGAGACTCTGGGGTCTGAATTAACGAGTCCTTCACCCCTTACTTGTGGCTTCAAAAGGGCCAATTTCCCAAAGCTGAGAAAAATTATGAGCAAAATTGATTGGGAATAAAGCTTTAACCTGAAAAACATGAATGCCAGTTAGGAGTTCTTTAAGAAGACTTTATTAAATGGCCAAAAGTCACAATTCCAAAATCAGATAAGAGATAGCTAGAAGCTAGTCTGGTTCAGTGGTGAACTGAAGGCAGCAATTAGACACAAAAAAGTGATATACAATGTTTTGCTAAGAAGCACTGGTCACTGCATGGGGCACAAAACTCTTTGACATTGGGCGTGTACACACCCCTCAATTAACATAACTGTCGTTCATCACAACCCCCCCCCCCCACACACACACACACACACCTCAGACAAAAGGGGTTCGCTGGGTGGGTGGAGGGGCTTTTGCTGAGTATTGCTTTAGGTAAAGTGTGTGAGAGTTAGGGAAGACAGAGCAGCGGCAATAAGAAAGCCAAAGCAGCAGACTGTGATCACATGACTCTATTGGGGGGGGAGAGATAGCTCAGTGGTTTGAGCATTGGCCTGCTAAACCCAGGGTGGTGAGTTCAGTCCTTGAGGGGGGCCACTTAGGGATCTGGGGTAAAATCAGTACTTGGTCCTGCTAGTGAAGGCAAGGGACTGGACTCAATGACCTTTCAGGGTCCCTTCCAGTTCTATGAGATAGGTATATCTCTCAGGAGCCTGGGAAAAGCTAGAGCAAATTTTTGGGTCTGGTGTTAGCTAAAGAGGCTTGGGGATAAAAGCAAAGAAATTGCTCCTTTTGTTTTTGTTTCTTCGTGAATTGGCAGACGCAGAACTTTGTAAATTACTGTAATGAAACAAGACTCCAGCAAAGAAAATACCAGACTCCTGCAATTTCTGCTTCCAGCTGGAACATCTCCAGGGCCCTGAATGTTGACTGGCTCTTCGGGTCAACTAATAAATGGTAAAAGGGAGACTAGATGGCAATCGATATCAATTAGAAGTTATGAAGTGCAGAAAATTGACAAGGAATACTAAAGACATCGGGGAAAAATCCATGACTGGCAGGTACAAGAACTATAAGAAGGAGTATTTAAGTCATAGGCGCCAATTGCGTGGGCGCTCTGGGGCTGGAGCACCCATGGGGGAAAATCGTGGGTGCTGAGTATGCACTGGCAGCCCCCCCATCA